CTGCTCTCAGAGACCTCATGATCCCTGTTCAATTTAAAGTACAAACTCTGCAACCACACAAAGTTTCAGGGGTTGGAAGCTGTTGGCCTGGGCTTTATATACTCCAGTGTCTTGGTCTGGCCCCAAGCTGACCCTGCTGAGGTGAAGTGGACAGAGGAGAGACTGTTGGACAGAGAAGCTAAAGACAGAGTTCCATTCCAGCGCCACCTCTAAGATACTACAGCCTCAGGGGCCTAGGAATCCTCTTCTGTGGACCTGGAAGTCATGGCCTGTGTGAAATGGAGTAAGAAAATCTCACACTGTCTCCTTTCAGGAATGCTCCAAAGACCTAGATTTATGAAAGCTTCTCCTTCTTTCCCCTCTTTTCTCCCATCCTCTCTCCTTTTTTCTCTTTACAATAATGAATAACAAATTGGCACAGTTTGTAGTGGTTAGAAGCTGTCAGGTTGGTTTTGACTCTATGTAACACAGAATGCAACACTATCCTGTCCTGTGACACCCGCACAATTGTTGATGTGTTTGAGTCATTCTGCAGGGACAGTGTCAATCGTCTCCTTGAGTGTCTTCCTCTTTTTTGGTGGCCCTCTATTTTACCAAGATGATGTCAATCTCCAGAGACTTGTTTCCCCTGATAACATGTTCAGAGTATATGAAGTAAAGTCAGGCCATTCTTGATTTTAAGTAACATTCTGACTATAATTCTTCCAAGACAGATTTGTTTGTTCATCTGGAAATTCATTAAATATTCTTCACCAACACCATCATTTAAATGCATAAATTCTACTTTGGTTTTCCTTATTCGTTGTTGAGGTTTTGCATGCATATGAGGCCATTTGAAGGACCATGGCTTGGGTCAGATACATCTTAATCCTCAATGTGACATCTTTGATTTTTAGTACTTTTAATACATCTTTTGCAGATTTCTTGATTGCTGCATCCATAGGTGTTGATTGTGGATCCAAGTAAAATGAAATCCTTGACACCTTCAATCTTTTCTCTGTTTATCATGACGTTGTTTATTGGTCCAATTGTGAAGATTTTTGTTTTCCTTATGTTGAGATGTAATCCTTACTAAAGGCCATAGTCTTTGATCTTCATTAATAAATGCTTCAGTTCTCTTCACTTTCAGCAAGTAAGATTGTGTTATCTGCATGTAGCAGGTGGTTAATGAGTCTTGCTCTCAACCTGAAGACCTGATTTTCTTCAGATAGTTGAGCTTCTTGGATTATTTGCTCAGCATATATCTTGAATAAGTATGGTGAAGGGATGCAGCTTTGACATACACCTATCTTTAAGTAAAGCAACAGAAGCTGCAAACTCTCATATTGTGATAATATGTCTTTAGAATTTTTGTCAAGAAAGTAAAACATGGAAGACAGCTATTATTTCTTTTCTAAGTGCTCATGGAACAGCTGCCTCTTGCTCCCCTATGTGTGCCCTGAACTCAACATGTCTAAGACTCAGTATTTCCATCCTCCACCCATGCTTCTCCCATGTCCCCCATCTCAGTATCTCAGTGGGTAGCTCCATTCTCCAATCAAATGAGCCAGAATCCAGGGCATCAATCCACAGTCCTCTCTCCTCCATCCTCATCCATAACTATCTGTTATATCCAGCTCTTTCTTAGCTTCACCTTCTCTCCTCTTCTGCCCACCTGGTTGAGGGGTTATTGCCCATCTGGTTTGCTGAAACAAACTTCCCACCATTTTCTACTCTAGGGTTAGGGTGCTAATTTATTTAAAATGAACATTTTTCTTTTTCAGTTCAGAGTATGTTTATTTAAAAAACATTGGATAGTATTGAAAATAATAATTGATAAAGTATATTTACCTGTAACCAGTAAGAAACCCACCACTCATCTGTCAGTTTGCCTACTGTGGTGGCTTGTGAGTTGCTGTGATTCTGAAAGCTATGCCACCAGTATTTTAAATACCAGCAGGGTCACCGATGGTGGACAGGTTTCACATGAGCTTCCAGATGAAGACAGACTAAGAAGGAGTGACAAACTACTTCTGAATATTTAGTCACTGAAAACTTTATGAATAGCAGAGAAACACTGTCAGATACAGTGCCTGAAAATAAGCCCCTCAGGTTGAAAGGTACTCAAAATGCGACTGGGGAAGAGCTGCCTCCTCAAAGTACAGTTGACTGTGATGAAATGAATGGAGTAAAGCCCGTGGGAGAAAAGCCAGCTGGACTTTCATTTGCTGATCGGGCACAACTCAAAATGAAGAGAAAGACCTGTAAATATCCATTGAAAATCAGAACATGGAAAGTACAAAGTATGAAGCTGGGAAAATTGGAAGTTGTTAAAAATGAAATGGAATGCATAAATATCGATATCTTAGGCATTAGTGAGGTGAAATGGACTGGTATTGGCCATTTTGAA